TGCTTCCGTGTATACTGCAGGGGACTCACAACAACAACTCAGTGGGGCGATACAATTTTATCACTTTCCGAATCATGTCTCTTGTCTAAGCCCGTTGGAAAAACATCGAAAACGTCTTCTTCTAAGTAAGTGATTCTTCAGATGCATTCCATCTGCTTTTCCTTTAAGGATATGACGTCAGTGAAAATTTGAAGAGATGAAGTAAAAGCGGCTGAAAATTTGCTGTTCACTCCGGCAGTTGCCAAAAACGGCTTCGTGTTTTGAAATTGCACAGGAAGTCAGATACGTAATCACATACCGACACTCGGGATAATTTGGAAATTTCATGTGAATATAGCGTATGCACAAGTAAACCCACTCTGTAGCTGTCAGTCTTAAATAGCTGTCTTAATAGTCGGTAGGCGAAAATTGGCACTTCCACTTCCAATTTGGTATGGCTTTTTCAGTATTTAGTATATTTATGTTTATTATATCTATTATATTTGTGCCGATTTCGCTTATTTTCTCTGATTTTCGCTTGAGCATTGACTGAGTCACGTAGATGAGCAATCAAACATGATTTATTTAATTTATTTGATTCATTTTGAACTGATCCTTGATCCTTGATCCTTGATCCGGTGATCCTTGATCCAGTTTTTCCAGGAAACCATTTTTTTCGCCGATCGCGACAATGTGGCACTTCAGCCTTGATCCCAGGTTTCATCGGGTGACGTATAAAAATTGCGCGAACCAATGTAAACAAACAAAATGGCAACAGCGAAGCGGGAAAAATAGGTCCGCAATGCGTACATGTGTGGCTTACGAAGCCATTGGGAGCTTGATCTGGTTTGAATGTATGACTAATTTTGGACAATACATACATGTAAAGTAATGCTGTAATGGTTTACAATGCTGAGTGTAGGTTTGTTTTGTCCATTAGGGCATAAAGTTCAACTTTCAGTTGGTTGAGAGCAAAACGTTTACTATAATTATTGTATTTAGGTTTTGTGGGACTGTATTTTCAATAAAGAACACAAAAAAATTTAGCTCAGGTAGGTAGATATGAGGTTGCAAATGGAAGAGTCTAGGGAAAAAAGATAGGTGCATTATAAGATCAGAGCACAAGCAATACTTTAATGAATCATATGTTGAGTTAAGTACTCTGAAGTAACATTACATTAACGTTGCTAATAATTTTTAACCCAATAAGATTTACAATTTGACCTGGAGGTTTTATTTAACAGAAAGTTCAATAGAGATAGAGTGTCACCATAATAGATTTCAGGAACAGTAATCAGAGACATAACTTAAACACAGCAGAGTTCAATGTACAGGCAAGTTCATGATGGTATCATATGATTTAAACTACCAGAAGCTTTCAAGTTTTTCTATTATTGAAATTGTAATTTCATGCCAGTGAGTCTACCAAATTCAAGTTATGTGGAGAAATGAATAGGTGAACTTGACATCATCATGCAAATGGTCGACTTCACATCATCATGTAAAGTGCTAATCTACCGTACAAAAAGGTCCAAAACAAACATGGTAAGCAACTGAATTTCATGTATCACTTTGTGTTAGAGCACACAAGAGGACTTGTGAGACCTGCTTCTCTCTCATTTGCCAGAACAAGATTGAACTTCTGGTACCAATCAAAATTCAGAATGACCGTGACAGTTTGGAACTGATCTGTTAAGACTGTGCTTTTAAGGGGTCTACAGATGTGATTAGAACCCTGGGTCTCCGAGGATACCTGATGGTTATCTAATCCACATCAAGTAGCTCTAACTTTTAACTATAAACGTGACAAATGTCAGTTCCATTTAAGTCTAAGCTAAGTTAATTAAAGTGTACTTTGGTATTCTAAATAAGCAGAAGTAAATTTTTCACAAACAACAAATGTTGAGCTCATAGTGTGTGTGCAGTTTAAAGTATTTGAAAAATTTACAGGTGCTTATCACATGAGAAATCATGTTATTAATTAATCATAACGTATACATGAAAGATACACATTTACAGGAAATCAACAAACTGATGGCAGATAAATTTGACAGTATTGACGGAATGAAGTGTGTGCCATCAAAATTTGTCCTTCAGCTGAATTCTTATTCAGGAATGCAATTTTTTCGTATTTATCAATATACATAAAAGTATCCAAGCTTTTGTTTATTTTTGTCAGCTACTGCATGTATCAATCAGAACCTTCTTTGTGTAAATCTGATTGGTTTCTAATGTGTTTCTGCTGCAGTCAAAAAGATCTTGTTGGTGTAGCCTAGTTCAGCATCAGCTGAACGAGTGTTTAGCCTGCTGCAAAATGCATTTAGCAAGCAGCAAGAGGCAGCATTAGAGGAAACAGTGGAAACATCGGTCATGTTACGTTACAATGACGATAAGCGCACATGAAATCTTGAACTATATGTCTGTAGAGGACTAGCTGGTGGTGCAAAACATTGACCAACAGGGACAGCGCTCTGTACTACATCTGCAAAGATGTAAATATTGAAAGACTATGGTTTTATACCACATACACTCGTGTATGCCAGAGAAACTTTTTATATTTAATAAGCATATTAGCAAAGTTTGTTTTGTTCGAATACAATCACGTGGTTATCGTAATAGAAAGCCAATACAGAGAATCAGATTTTTATGACTTGGGTTGAGAGAGACTCAGTCTTACAATATTGATGAGTCAGTATGATATAATTATGTATATAATATCTATGCAAAGTGAAATCTATTCATTAAATCTTTATTTAAGTTGTTAATCAATCTCTTACACTAAAAAACTGAAAGCAACTTTTGGATTTTGGGGCAACTTTTGAGCAACTTTTAGAGTTTTGGAGCAACTTTGGAGCAACTTTGGAGCAACTTTTTGAGAAAATTGGAGCAACTTGTGGACAGCCCTAAATCAGGGCTATCTTTAAAATTAAGAACAGGGAATAGGAGAATGGGGAATGAGAGAATGGTATTATTCAGGGTTCAAAATAATTTTTCAGTTTCAGCGTGAATTTGTAGGCTTTTGTCAAGGCTCATTTTCTCCCCGTTTCCGGCTGTCACTAATAAATTTCAGTATCAGATTCTTTGTTTTGATCAACATGTTTTGTTGCGGCAATTCCTTTCCTAACAAAGCGTAATGAATGGCTCAATTTTTCTGTTTGTTCAAGCGTGAAATATACAGCTTTGTCTAGACAAACTGTCGCGCTGCTGTTAAGCACCGACTTTAATTTGAACGCGTGAGAAAGCTTTACAAACGACATTAAACAGGATTTGGCGGAAAATAAATCTTGATTAAAGGTAATTTGTACGTGCAGAAACATAAACACGGTAATGTGACTGTACGTACACAAACTTGCATGTTTCACGCTTGAACAAATGCATAGAAAGCTGAATACTGTAAACAAAAATACTCCTTGTAGCAGGCTTCAAATTTCGAAACTTTATACTCGTTTACGTTTCCAAAAAGCTTTCAAAACATTTCTTGGCTGCTTTACTGCCTGATATGGCATGATCACCATAACATGAAAGCGACTTTTACTACAGTTGGACGATCATAAGCATAGTATTTTCCACAAAATTCTTGTCCTTCGCTGAGAAATCGGCAAGTGTTTTTTAAGATTCCCCATTTTAAAGATTCCCGCATTTAAAGATTCCCCGTTTTGAAGATTCCCGCTTTTAAAGATTCCTCATTTTATTTTATAGAGAGCCCCACGATCAGCGTATAAAATCGCTAAGTGTGTCATTTTTTCGCCGTCGGGAAGTGAAATATGTCCGATTGCCGCACTGCAGGCTAGCGCCACTCTGAACGATCCAACTTTGTTAACCAAACATCATTATTAGGTGACATGCCATAGATATTGGCAATTTTATACGCTGATCGCTGCGATCGGCGAAAATCGCAGTCGCCGCACCGGGCACACCCGGCGATTTCCGCCGGTCGCCCCGATCGGAGTATAAAATCGGTAGTTGTGTCATTTTTTTGCCGCTCAGTGGAAAGAGCGAAAATGTTAACCTAAATAGTGATAAATATGATCTCGCTGTCTGGTTCCGTGTATAAACAAATTTTCAAAGCGTGAATCAACCCATACGAAGTTGTTGATGGAATCTGACAAAAGTTTAATTAAGCCATAGTTTTTCACATTTGAAAGCGGATATATAGAGCACCTGTCATCCTTGCTTTGTACTTTTACAATGGATGTATATTTACTCTTTAGGAAATCCACCAGACATCGTCATTTGCGCACGAAAGACAACCCATTAAAAATTTTTGATCAACTCGTCTCACGCTGATCACTGAATTTTATGGCACCTAAATAAAATTTTCTCGATGCAATGTTGGGTGGAGTAACTGACTGAAAAAAAAATATTGAACAGTTTTTTTACATCATTCGGATTTCACATCAGAAAGCCAAGAAATTTGGCCGTATCACATTTCTAAGACTTTTTTCGTGTGATCAACAGTCTTCACAACCCAGAATCAACATTCATTGTTCACAGATTCGTTAAAATTTGAGAAATAAAGCTCCATTTCCGCTGTTTATCTTCAATCGCATTCAATTTACAAAGTTTTCATTCAGCGTCATCCCAAAAAATAATGAAAAATGCAAATACTTAAAAGGTGTTTTTTCTTTTTTGTCGTTAAGCTTTGAATTTCCTCTTTAAGACATTTTACAAGCGAGCTTTAAAAATTACGACTTGTGCTTTTGAGACAAGTTTTAATATTTTCACACACTTTATAGCCTGTTAACCCTTTGAAAAAAAAAGATAAAAAATTCTGAATTACAAAGATCGAGGAGGATTGAACAAAGATATTGATATCTCCTTTTACACGCTCCATAAACAGAAAAATTAATTGCGCTCCATTAAGAGCATTTTGGTCTCGTGCCTAAGTCTTGGCGATTTCAGTCACTCTTGCTTTGGTTGAATTTGATCCCCTGCAGGAGTGTTCTGTTCGATTAACTTCCAGAGTCTACAGTAGTAGGAAAGGCTGATAAACCTTTACTAATACACGTAGTTCGGTTCCCTCAAGCAAACCTGCTGAAAGTTGTGCGGCAAACAGCTCTTAGCGCTTGTCGATACTGCGGTATTCTCCACGCGTATAGAAACGGATTTACAGCGCAGCTTACGCACAACATCGACATTGATAGAGCTCTGGATATTTCAAAAGCTGGCCCATCACACACATTGCTTTGTTCCTTGGGACACCACTCCTCCAAGTTAGTAACAATTAGATAGGGCATAATTGATATAAACAACACGATTGTGATCAGAATAATTGTCAAAACGATCTTTTTTTCCACACGGATGTTCCGAGCAAAAACGCGCGATCTTCCTCCATTGTCTTGTTGCAGAAACGTGACGTTTCTTGAATATCGGCGGAATTCAATGTAAGTCGCTGCGTTGACAGCGCAAAGTATTGTCAGTGGAGCCGTAGACTGAATATGAAGATCCACTGTGTGGAATATTTCCTTTGATGTACTTATGGAGTGCAATGCTTCAAACAGCCCACAAAAGAGCCATATCAAAATGTTACATATGACGACCTTTCGCAATGTTATAAGCGTCCTATACTTCCAAATAAGCTTTATAGCCAGAAATCTATCCACTGATAACGCCACGACCGTTGAAATTGATATTTTGGTGCTAATATGAGAAGAAACAGTAGAAATCTTGTGTAGGCTTGGTAAATTGACTTTATATGGAAGGCAAAGCATGTATGTTGAGTACAAAGGTTGCGCGAAACTCCCTCCAAGTAAATCACTTAACGAGAGGCTTACCACGAGGAAAGTTGTGGGGCGCACTCGGAAATACATGTACGGATCTTTGAAAAGAGTCCATAGAAGAACACTGTTTGTTGCGAATGAAACGAAGCCAAGCAAAGCGCTACAAATTCCTGCCAAAAGTGTGACTGATGCTGCTGGAATTCCTTCAAAATGTCCGTGTTCATCGTGATGTGATTCAGCAGTCTCGTTCATGATTAACACCAACGGACACTGCTCAAGCTTTTATGTAGAAACTCTTGATTTGATGATTAATATGGCTGAGGATGACTAATGAATCGCCCGGTCACATGAGAGGCAAATTGTTTCGAAGCTGGCTAGTATTTCTTAACTTGCGACACCTTTCCTGAAAGCCAAACTTGGATATCTAATTTGATCGCGCAACACCAAGAACAGTTTTACCGATGCAATATTTCCTACATCCGGTGAAATAGGGCTGAAAATCCTTCTCTCTTGTTCTTATTGTGACCAATGTACGTTAGTTACTTGGTAATTACACGAATTGACGAGGGTTCTGTTACAACAATGGTCGGTCTTGACATCCTTCTAATGAATATGACATCGTTTGCATTAAATATTTGGACAAAATTCTGTTCCCAGGATAAGAATGGACAGTCATTGAAAAACTTGCCTGAATTACTTGAAAAAGAAACTCATTTAAATTCGAATTGCTTTACTTAAGGGATGTAATCACTAAAGCTCCCTTGTCCTATTGAGTGTCCGTTGCGAAGCTGATGCCTATTAAAAAATTTGCCAACGGAAAAAATGAAAACAGCCGAGATAGTAAAAGGAAAATGAACACTACAATATTCATCCTAGGGCAGAGCTTAAAACAATTATGTTAATTGTAATCTTGGATTAAAAGGATCGCAAAAGTTACGTAATCGAGCGCACCACAGAAGTTTTAATAACTACTCTCCTCAAACTTAACCTAAAAACAGATTTCGGTACGAGACTACGATATGGTTCTTTCTACGCTGGTGTGTTTTACAGGCTGACCCAAAAAAGCCAATTCATCTGACATACCCTTTTTAAAATCTATGAAACATTCCCTTATCTATGTGAGGTTAACTCTCGAAAAAAGACACAACATTAAAAAAAACTGCCGACTTCTACATGGTCCCGTTCCTTTCACGGGACTCTCTACGTACATTGCGTTACACTACTTACTTACAGTATTCTTAAGATACAATTAATATTTATACTACTTACATTGTTCTACTTACACTACGTACAATGTGATAATGCACACATATTTACAGGCACATCATTTACGCACAAAAAAAAGAGAAACTTATTGACAAAAAATTAACAGTTACGAAAGACAAAAAGGCTAAATTGTGGTTGGGATAGATAGGAGTAAGAGCTTGAAAAAAAAACCCAAAAGTACAGCGTTTAGCTAAAAATTGAGGCTTACGATCAGCATAAGGTGAGTAAGATATATCCTTCAAGCAGGCTCATATTTGGAGCCCGCCCGCAAACTATATAGCAATTCTAGTGCATGAAGTATTTTGTCCCACTTCTGTTGAAATTTGTTCTGTGAATCAGTCACGATAGATATTTGTTTTTCAATTTCAGTTGCACATATTCTCTGATAGATGGAGATATGTTCTTAAATTTACAGCAATAAAGATAATACCTTGCGAGGAGCAAACAATGGCTTACTAAAATATCCTTTTTCTCTCCTCTAAAACCTAAACATTCATAGATATCCAAAACGTGTGAGGCTGGTATCATATGAATTGAAACGAAAAAACAATGAACCCTTCCCCAAAAGGTTTTCGTTACCGAGCATTCACAGAAAAGATGGATGCACAGAGAGCAGTCTCCGAAATTCCTATTTTAGGTAGAAAGGAATTCATTGCTTTACTTCTGTGGAGAAATTTGAACTGGAAGTTCGTTATCTTAATACTGAGCGTACACAACCTTGGTAGTAAATAAATCGACTTCCAGCTCAAATCCTCCACCACTTCAAGGTCACATTCCCTTACCCATTTTTCTTGACTCTTTTGGGGGCTAGTATAATTTTTTGGTATTAAAATTTTATACGCTAATTCAGTCGGCTTGGTTGCTGCAATCAGTTTTTGCACCGAAAACCCCTGATCCTTTCCACCTGGCGTTTTCAATTTCAAAGACTTCATAGCGCTCCTTATGGCCGCGGTCACTCCATGAAATTCAAGGAAAGAGGCAGATAAGCAATATTTCTCTCTAAACTCTCCATAGGTTATGACCTTAAAAACCATCGTTAACAAGATCTTTGATATTTTGTACACCAGTTTCTGCTCAGTGCATGTAAAAAAAAAGGCCTATTAGCAATTCTGACTAATGAGTTATTCCATATAATACAACTACTACTACTACAAAAGTCGTGTTTGGAGAGGAAAGAGTCTCTAAAATTAAAGTCCACCCAGATTTCGATAAGTTCTCGGAGGAAGTCCTCCTTGATATCATGTTTGATAGCGTTTTTTTTTCTCAAGTTCCCAAGAAAAACTAATTTTCCTCTCCATTTTGAAAGAAAGAAATCCCCCAAATTTTTCCATTTAGATTTACAATCATCAGAAATATACTTTACTATCCACGCGATCTTTAAAGACTTATTAAATGCCATGATGTCCAAGAAACATCGTTTGATTTTGTCCCTTTTTCCATCCCAGAGAAATTTGAAAAGCAAATCATTTATTTCTTTTAACGATTTGAAACATGTACGTAATGAGTACAAAATGTAGACCAATTGGGATGCAGCCAACGTCTCTATAATTGTAATCTTTCCAGGAAACGTTAATCTCTTGTTTTGCCGATTGTTAAGAATATCTTCAACTTTGTGTTTTTTACTTTGTGAGAGTCCTTCCATAATATCAACTTTCTTGGCTGTAAACTGCGAAAATCTCCTTCAAATCGTTTTCTCTCGCACTTCATTCTTGTCCTTTATTTGCTAAATGAAAGATTATCTCCGGATTTGTGTCCTCATTTTGCGTCATCACAAAATCTTTCAGAATTGATCTCCAAAAGAAAAAAATTGAGCAGAATCTAAAGCTTACAGCAGGCGTTCAAGAGCATTTAAAATATTCGATATAAAACCTTTATTGTTTTCATTGACCGAGCTAAAATTGCCGAATAATTGGAAATATTAACCAAACATATGAATACTATTTAATCAACGTTGGAAGGAGGAAAATAAATATAACGACAAACATCAATGTCATTTAAATGTTTAATATTTAATCTAACGCAAATTTTAATTTTTTGCCAATAACTTTCTGCTTCTGACAGTTGAAAATAAATATAACTTTCGACATAACTAACATGGTTAAAGCTGGATCTGTTACCGACATAATGATCATATCATAATTATAAGGGGTGTTTGCTTTATGTGGAAAGAACACCGAGACACGATACGAACCAACTATATTCTAAGAAAATAACCGAAAGTTTTATTATGACTATGATTACCTGTATAATAATGCTTCTGGGAGAAGAAAAATCAAGCGTACGTCAAAGCAGTCGTTCGGAAATATTCATTCCTTATATTTTGGCCATTATTTTCAATTCCAGTAATCTGCAGCTGATGAAATTCTCGGCTAGATCTTGCATCATGCCTCGGATGTGTTCTCGATGCCGTTATGACGATGATAGTTATGCCGCCAGTGAAAACTAAAGCCCAGTATCACCAACCAATGTTTACTTTGCTGTTCTTAAGACGATTCGAATAACTACAATAGAGAGTTCAAAATTCATGTAAAATGAGGCTTTCAGAAATTAACATCCCTTTGTTTTCAGACTTCTTACCAAATCGCTTCGTCACTTGCAAAAACGAAGATAATAATCAGTTTCTTTGTACTTTCAGTTCGTTGAACTCTTCGTGTTTTCAGTACTAAAAACTGATCCTCGTCCGATGTTCCTCATCCAGCCATGAGTATCTAAAAGTCCTACAAGGTTCTTGTCGAAACGAAATCATTTTTTAGCAACCTTCTTTGCGAGATGAACACAATAGCTCGAAAGATATAAACAGTGCCTTTTTGATTTTCGAAAATCGAGAGTTTCCCATTTCTCCAACTGCTAATACCTGCTAACAAACTTGTTTTGGAAAATGAAAGCTAAAGGAAATCATTAACACCCAGAAAAAACACGGTTTGACTTGTATTCATCGTTTTCGTTTTAACCCGTGATTGTACTTCTCAATTAATTCGAAAAAAAATCTCCAAATTACTAAAAACTAGGGGAAAACATCTGACAGCTTGTCAATCCTTTGATTTAAGCGCCTCTTTTTTCCGACGGCGCCACTCTTGTACTCTACAGAGCAGGCATTATTTTAGTAGGCAAGTGCTCAGTATTATCTTGGGAATAATTATAGCTGCCATCTTTAATTTTTATGGCAGCGGAAGGCTGGGAAAAGAAAGAAATTTGTACTAAGAGTGAGAGACGACTCTAGCTCCAAATCAAACACGGCGGCGGAATATAGAATACAGATGATCACGAGCTTGTTAATGTTAACTCGTCCTGATAAGACGCCCGCACTGCAGGCTAGCGCCACTCTAAACGATCCAACTTTGTTAATCTCGGTCTCGTGTCGAGGGCGCAGAGTACGCTAAGTGGTAGACACAGCAACTTCGAACCGAAATGCAACATCATTAATAGGTGACATGCCAGATATTGGCAATCTTATACGCTGATCGCTGCGATCGGCGAAAATCGCAGTCGCCGCACCGGGCACACCCGGCGATTTCCGCTGGTTGCCGCGATCGGCGTATAAAATCGCTATTTGTGTCATTTTTTCGCCGCCGGGAAGTGAAATATGTCCGATTGCCGCTCAGTGGAAAGAGCGAAAATGTTAACCTAAATAGTGATAAATATGATCTCGCTGTCTGGTTCCGTGTATAAACAAATTTTCAAAGCGTGATTTAACCCATACGAAGTTGTTGATAGAATCTGACAACAGTTTAATTAAGCCATAGTTTTTCACATTTGAAGGCGGATATATAGAGCACCTGTCATCCTTGCTTTGTACTTTTACAATGGATGTATATTTACTCTTTAGGAAATCCACCAGACATCGTCATTTGCGCACGAAAGACAACCCATTAAAAATTTTTGATCAACTCGTCTCACGCTGATCACTGAATTTTCTGGCACTTAAATAAAATTTTCTCGATGCAATGTTGGGTGGAGTAACTGACTGAAAAAAAAAATTGAACAGCTTTTTTACATCATTCGGATTTCACATTAGAAAGCCAAGAAATTTGGCCGTATCACATTTCTAAGACTTTTTTCGTGTGATCAACAGTCTTTACTACCCGGAATTAACATTCACTGTTCACAGATTTGTTAAAATCTGAGAAATAAAGCTCCATTTCCGCTGTTTACCTTCAATCGCATTCAATTTACAAAGTTTTCATTCAGCGTCATCCTAAAATATAATGAAAAATGCAAATACTTAAAAGGTGTTTTTTACTTTTTGCCGCTAAGCTTTGAAATTCCTCTCTGAGACATTTTACACTCGAGCTTTAAAAATTACGTCTGTGCTTTTGAGACAAGCTTTGATATTTTCACACACTCTATAGCCTTTTAACCCTTTGAAAAAAAATACAAAATTCTGAATTACAAAGATCGAGGAGGATTGAACAAAGATATTGATATCTCCTTTTACACGCTCCATAAACAGCAAAATTAATTGCGCTCCACTAAGAGCATTTTGGTCTCGTGCCCAAGTCTTGGCAATTTCAGTCGCTCTTGCTTTGGTTGAATTTGATCCCCTGCAGGAGTGTTCTGTTCGATTAAACTTCCAGAGCCTAAAGCAGTAGGAAAGGCTGATAAACCTTAACTAATACACGTGGTTCGGTTCCCTCAAGCAGACCTGCTGAAAGTTGTGCGGCAAACAGCTCTTAGCGCTTGTCGATACTGCGGTATTCTCCACGCGTATAGAAACGGATTTAAAGCACAGCTAACGCACAACATCGAAATTGATAGAGCTCTTGTTATTTCAAAAGCTAGCCCATCACACACATTGCTTTGTTCTTCGGGACACTGCTCCTTCAAGTTAGTAACAATTAGGTGGGGCATAATTGATATAAACAGCACGATTGTGATCAGGATGATTGTCAAAACGATCTTTTTTTCCAGACCGATGTTCCGAGCAGAAACGCGCGATCTTCCTCCATTGTCTTGTTGCAGGAACGTGACGTTTCTTGAATATCGGCGGAATTCAATGTAAGTCGCTGCGTTGACAGCGCAAAGTATTGTCAGTGGAGCCGTAGACTGAAGATGAAGATCCACTGTGTGGAATATTTCCTCTGATGTACTTATTGAGTGCCATGCTTCAAACAGCCCACAAAGGAGCCATATCAAAATGTTACATATGACGACCTTTCGCACTGTTATAAGCGCCCTATACTTCCAAATAAACTTTATAGCCAGAAATCTATCCACTGATAACGCCACGACCGTTGAAATTGATATTTTGGTGCTAATATGAGAAGAAACGGTAGAAATATTGTGTAGGCTTGGTAAATTTACTCGACACGGATGGCAAAGCATGTACGTTGAGTACAAAGGTTGCACGAAACTTCCTCCAAGTAAATCACTTAACGCGAGGCTTGCCACGAGAAACGTTGTGGGGCGCACTCGGAAATACATGTACGGATCTTTGAAAAGAGTCCATAGAAGAACACTGTTTGTTGCGAATGAAACGAAGCCAAGCAAAGCACTACAAATTCCTGCCAAAAGCGCGACTGATGCTGTTGGAATTCCTTCAAAATGTCCGTGTTCATCGTGATTTGATTCAGCAGTCTCGGTCATGATTAACACCAATGGACACTGCTCGAGCTTTTATGTAGAAACTCTTGATTTGATGATTAATATGGCTGAGGATGACTAATGAATCACCTGGTCACATGAGAGGCAAATTGTTTTGAAGCTGGCTAGTATTTCTTAACTTGCGACACCTTTCCTGAAAGCCAAACTTGGATATCTAATTTGATCGCGCAACACCAAGAACAGTTTTACCGATGCAATATTTCCTACATCCGGTGAAACAGAGCTGAAAACCCTTCTCTCCTGTTCCTATTGTGAAAAATATAAGTTAGTTACTTGGTAAGTGCACGAATTGATGAGGGTTCAATTACAACAATGGTCGGTCTTGACATCCTGCTGATGAATATGAAATCGTTTGCATTAAATATTTGGACAAAACTTTGTTACCAGGATAAAAATTGACAGTCATAGAAAAACTTTCCTGAATTACTTGAAGAAGAAACTCATTTAAATTGGAGTCATTTTACTTAAGGGATGTGATCACTAAAGCTCCATTGTCCTATCGAGTGCCCGTTGCGAAGCTGATAACTCTTAAAAAATTTGCACACAGAAAATATGAAAACAGCCGAGATAATAATAGAAAATAAACACTAGAATATTTATCCTAGGGCAGAGCTTAGTGTTAATTATAATCTTGGATTAAAAGGATCGCAAAAGGTACGTAAACGGGCGCACCACAGTAGTTTTAGTAACTACTCTCCTCAAACTCAACCTAAAAACAGATTTCGGTACGAGACTATGATATGGCTCTTTCTAAGTTGGTTGTTTTTACAAGCTGACCCAAAGAAGCCAATTTATCTGACATAACCTTTTTAATATTTATGAAACATTCGCTCATCTTTGTCAATGTTTTTTAATAAAGCTTTTTTAGAGGATGGTGAGGTTAACTCTCAAAAAAAAGACACAACATTCCATAATATTAACTTTCTTGGCTGTAAACTGCGAAAATCTCCTTCAAATCGTCCTTTATTTTCTAAATGTAAGATTATCTCCGGATTTGTGTCCTCATTTTGCGTCATCACAAAATCACTCAGAATTGATCTCCAATAGCAAACAATTGAGCAGAATCTAAAGTTTACAGCAGGCGTTCATTAGCATTTAAATTATCCGATACATAACCTTTATTATTTTCATTGACCGAGCTAAAATTGCTGAAAAAGTGGAAATATTAACCAAACACATGTAACTGCTTCCGTTGAAGCTAAGTGTTACCGCATCCGAGAAAAGCTGCGAAATATTTTTTTGGTTAGTTTGAAGCCCCCGTGATTAGTTCTTTTAGACAGAAAATTATTGAAAGCGTTTCAGTTGAAGATAAGACCCCGTGTGATCAAGATCGTTTTGAATAGAAGACAAGTTAGACTGTAATTCTCGATAAAGTAATCAAGACCCGCGAACGTTGGTAAGCAATGACTTGTTTTGTGATTATGTTATCTAGCTCGTAGTCGTTACTCAAAGTAAAATTTATCGCTCGTTTTTACCTTTCCTTTGGTTCCTTTAATTGCCACGTGCTCGTTTCCAAAACCGAGATTATTCTTAAGCTTTGATCACAATACTTAGGTGATTTCTTCACGTAATAATTTTAGTTGACCGCTTCGATATAATAACGTCCTAAGGAATAGCAAAAGGAATAAAGAAAGAAAAGATCCTATTTGGTTTGGTGTTTATCGCATGCGCGTGTATCAACCCGGGAATCGAATTTACAACTCTAGCTTGAAAAGAAACTTTTACAACACACGCCTACTATATAATCAACGATGGAAGGAGGAAAATAAATATAATTTTCGACACAACTTGTGAGAGGTTTTTGTTTGCCAGTTATACCTTTCTCCCTTCCTTGTCACTTGAATGTTTCATGAAGATTTAAACTATAGCAGCAAATTTTAATTTTTATGCCAATAACTTTCTCCTTCTGACTGTTCAAAATAAGAGGAAATAAGTACTAAAAGGTTCTTTTTTCCTGCCTTCTATGCTATTCAAAACCTTCTTCCAAAGTGGGGATAACTATAGCAGCCACGACTCCGTTGTGCCGGCTTCGATTTAGAACTGAGCTTCATGCATATGCACTACGTGTATATCATAACAATTTTTGAATACTGAGGACATTTTGAAATGAAATAACATTGTTTTTGTTTTCGGCAGGAAGTGATCAACTGATGTTTTAATCCTGGTTGATACGTCTTTCATTATTTTGTTTAAGCTGGATCTGCTAACGACATAACTATCATATCATAATTATATGGGGTGTTTACTTCGTGTGGAAAGAACACCGAGATACGATACGAACAGACCATACTCTGAGAAAATAACCAAAAATTTTGTTATGACTATGATTACCTGTATAATAATGCATCTAGGAGAGGAAAATCAAGCGTACGTCGAAGCGGTCGTTCGGACATATTCATTCTTTATATTTTGGCCATTATTTTCGATTCCAGTAATCTGCAGCTGATGAAATTCTCGGCTAGATCTTGAGTAACTGAGGTGCTTTTTCATGCTTCGGATGTGTTCGCGATGGTTTTATGACTATGATAGTTATGCCGCGAGTGGAAACTAAAGCCCAGTACCACCAACTAATGTTTGCTTTGCTGCTTAAGACGATTCGAATAACAACAAAATAGAGCTAAAAATTCAAGTAAAATCAGGGTTTCAGAAAATCAACATCCCTTTGTTTTCAGACTTCTTAGCAAATCGCTTCGTCACTTACAAAAACGAAGATAATAGTCAGTTTCTGTGTACTTTCAGTTCGCTGAAATTTTCATGTTTTGAGTTTTAAAAACTGACCCTCGTCCGCTGTTCATCGCCTTAAACAGGCGTTGCAGGTGCCCCCAATATGTGAAGCGTTTAACATTATGGATGTTAATTTGCATCAGAAGTGCTACATTTTTAAAATCATGATATCTTCACCACACGGATCTTCACTGACATGTAAGGAAAAAACATCGAGGCGGTGTTGTATTGAGTTTATCGATATAGTGATTTTAATCCATGAGGGGCTTTTTCCCTTAATGAACTTCATTTAGGTTTGAACTTTTTTTGTAAGGAAAACAGTATAAAGAGAATTAATGTTATGTAAGAAGTTGTGGTACCATTTCCGTGATCAGTGTTTACGTGCAAGCAACTCAGCGTTTGATGTTCTTAAAACGCGTGTTAAATTGTGTTTGATTTAAACATAAATATATAAATTTAAATAAATATCTGGATAGTTGGAAGAAAATTGCATGCGCGCTGATTAATATCTGGACAGTTAAAAGAAAATTGCAGTTTGGTGACTCATATCAAAACAGTGAAATGAAAATTGCATGTTCGCAGATTCATAGACAGTTAAAAGAAAATTGCAGGTTCGCTGGTTCATATCTAAACACTAGACAGCTGAAAGCAAATTGCATGTTTGCTTGTAAATTCGAATTTATCAACACTTGAAGTTAACTTTCATCTTCAAGCTTGGCCATATGATGTCCCCTATTCAAGAAAGGTCCCATCTATACCAGCAATGTTTTCTCCAAAAACTGGTCGGAGGTGGGGGGGGGGGGGGTGTATCATTCAACAATACCCCAAAATGGAGACATAGGGATATTTACCTCACAGGTTTCTCGTTCATTTTCTTCAAAAGTCATCTTTCTCTCAATTTATCATACAACTGATTTGTCCTGTATGTTTGGAGCCATTCTAGTTTTTCAATTACAGAACAGGTGGCCATGAACAACAGTGCAGGTTTTTGCAAGCTTTGCAGAAAGATGGGTCTTCATATTCGATCTTAAAGTGACTTTAATTCGGTTTCGTTCAGGACACTTGAAAATGAATTAGGGCTGTTTCTAAGAGCTTGTGATGTTACTATGAAAAATTCTTGCATTTGGGAAATGCCTAGTATTTGAAACGAATGTTTATGATGGCATTGTTGGTGTAGCAAACGGAAAATCATGGTTATCAAACGATGAGCTGTAAAATATAAGGAAATTGTTTTGAGCCTCGTATCGATCCAAATTGTGAACCTGTGTACTATAAGCGGCACTGACCATCACCTCTACATATCGGATGACGAAGCCTTGTCTTAAAAGGTGTGGTTCACTCAAAACGCTATGAATTCCCCTTAACCAAGTCAAGTTCTTTGCAGTGATTTTTGTCCCAAAATGTCCTCATATCTTCGTAAACCCTTGGAAAGGCGTACAGAGTTTGGTTGTGAAGTTGATTACACAGTACACAAGCACGGTTCGTCGCTACACGTTTATAAAATTTCTTCCAAGCAAAGTATTCGCTGTACGCGGTGTCATTTGCATCGAGGTAAAGCAAATAGTCAGCAAGATGTTTGGGAGAATCAAAATCTTGAACATCAATGTAGGAATTTGGAATAGCGAGTTCCTTGTAATTGGCTCCCCCCATAACGATGGGTATAATATCATTGTCAATCGCGTTTTCCCAATATTTTTCAGTCATGTAATCAGGACAGTTACCGTTTTCGAACGCCAAATAAAACTTGTGTTGCTTTAGCAACGCATTGCAGACAGGCCAACGACGTTTCCGAGGACAACGTAACCGGCCGCATAATCCATATATGGAAACGTGGATGTAGTTTTGTAATTCCATGACGTAGAGATATCGTTCAGTTGCCTGGCAGTTACTGACCAACCAAGCAACTTGTTTACTCTTTCCAGCTGTTTCATTACCTGTGAGATATTTTTCAGAGGGCTTCTCTAAAGTTATATACTTTCCGTAAGGTGTATAAACCTCTGAGTCTCGGCTGTAAGACATCGTCCAGTTAAAAACACCAGCAAACCCATGAGCATCCATGGGCACGTGCAGCGGATTTTCCAGAACAAAATAGAACCATATCTGTTCCGAAGACATGCGACTTGGAAGAAATTCAGGCATGTCGCGTGCGTGAAAACCAACAGCATCCGCTTCTAATATCCTACTCCTGTTATACGTCACCAGACAACTAGAAACCTCGCAATTCATAAAAGTCGTGTGTCCCTCTTCAAAGGGCGAACGATTGGGTCCTAGGGAAGGATCATTCGCCCACTTTTGTCCAAAAAAAGACGTGTAAAGCAATATCAGCTTCTTCCTGGATTCTTCTCCTTGATCAGCCTCCCTCACGCCTCGATGTGCAACAGTTAAATTTACAAAATACTTCTCTTGTAAAAATAACATGTTTTTAAACACTGCGATATAGAAGACAAAACTAATTACGATAAATAGGAGAAGTATTTGAAGACCTGAATTTTGTCGAGAGAACATATTTCGCAAAAGTCTCAACTTTGCAGAGCCCATCTTGGAAGCGGAAAAGACTAAACTAGCGTCAAGTACACAATGGGATTATACGCTTTGTAAATGGTATCCTTAAAAGCTGCTTACTCGAGCGAACACGACAACGTCAAAATAGCAGCAGGTTCACAGCACCAGCAACAGGTTATAACCATCGGCCATCACACCATCGACAAAGAAATCCAACCAAAATACCAAAATTTAGAACTTGGCACCTGGTAGTGAACACTATTCGCTTCCTTTTATTTCTTAATTCTATAATTTAATCTAGTTTCACATAGTCTGGGCAAGGAGAACGATTTCCAAATCAGTGGTAGAACTGTCATCAAGGGTAATTTAAATTTGACGGATGTATCTATTGATCTAAGCAACAAGTAAACACTTAACAAAGAGATTTTTAATTTGCTTATAATCTGGAAAAAAAAAACAAGCACTATTCAATTACAGAAAACAAATACATTTCCTGCTCCCCATTTAGACCTAGAACCATGTTGGACATAACAAAGGATTCATGTCTGCCTTTAGGGCTCCATGCCAAATCGCTGATGAGTAAGGATACGCTTAACCTTTGACGCTGGTTGATCGACTCGATTCTCAAGTAAGAGTTCTCTAGAACTCTCCATCAAGAGCTGTCATACGACCGAAACCACGTCTTCATTTTAGCTGAAGTTGCAGTAGGAGATGAAAGCAAGTGCATGGAAAGTTGGCAAAAAAAAAAAAAAGAGTTTATCTGGGTTCTTCGAAGCACAGTTGAACTAAATCTGGGCGGGTTTTTGTAATTTTTTGACTGAGCGAATTGTTAGGCCTTGCCGAAAGTTCCACAAATTATACCTCAGTTGTATTCTTTAGAATAAAGGGGTAAGTTTCTAAAGAAACTGTGGTGCTGCGTCGGTGGGAGAGTATAGCAGGTAATTTAGTGTTAACAGCTGGGTTGAAAACGTAAATTAGCCACCGTAAAGGGTAAAAAAGCTGACGTTTCGAGCGTTAGCCCTTCGTCAGAGCAATGACGAATCACTCTGACAAAGGGCTAATGCTCGAAACGTCAGCTTTTTTACCCTTTACGGTGGCTAATTTACGTTTTCAACCCAGTTGTTAACACTAAATTACCTGCTGTATTCTTTAGAATTTTTTTTGCGTTAACTGGAAGATAAAAGCCGAAAATCACTCTCCTTAGATAAACGTTTATAAATCCTGGACAGATTTGATCGCTGTTCTGTAATCCACGCATCCACACCACACATCTTTTATTTACTTTTCTTTGATTGAAGTTAGTCGTAAAAAAGGGAGCACTTGTAAATGGCTAACACATGGGCCGCGTGTTAAAGAAGTCACGAGTGCGGAATACTTAGTCATTCGCGAAAGAAACGTCTGTGGGATAGTTCAGTGGTTGCATAAAGGTGATTGAAGATAAAAAAAAAAAACCAATATCCATGCTGACCTGCAGTTGTCTGGTTAGTATTTAAACTCGAACAATAAATCTTGTGGTAAGTACTGTGTCCTATTAACCGGCCGGTTGCGCACTCCAGAATCACCGTCACGTCGTTGGAGTGAAGACTGAGCTTTGTATGTAACAACTACTTCACTTTCCCTCTTCGCCTTCAAGAGTAGCGAATGTTTTGAACGTTAAACGTTACGAGATAAGTAATAGGGATTTCCAGCCATGTTTTTGAGAGGTTTTAAAATATTTTTGAAGTTTTTAAAGAAATTATAATCTTTCTCATGTATGCTGGAGATGAGACAGTTGTACTATCGAACTGAAACCATGCTCTCTATAACATTATACCCTTGTTCTTTCCGGATCCCTTTGTCACAAGAAGTTCGAAGCAATCTGGAGCGCTCGAGCTATTCTTTGATCGGCTTCATAAAGAAAACGGTGGAAACTCAAAGGGAGATTTCACCATTGGATCGCTACGATAGAAAACAGCTAGCGCATGCGAAAAATGACTTAATACAGTTTACAACGACGAAGTACCCAATGAGGAAATAATTTATTACTGAGCGCAAAATAGAATATGTAAAATAACCCATTTTATAAATTCTACATTTTTTTCAATAAATAGTTATTTAGACGTTTCATTTTTTGTACCACCAATTTCGTCACGTGCAAGTTAGCAGGCAATAACGAGGCAAACTCATCCATAATCAGATTTTATCCAAAGTACTCTGGCAAATTCTTGA